ATGGCCATCTATGCCATCCTGGATGTGGTAAGTTCTTCTTCACATTTTTCAGTAATATTTATTTATTTATTGGTCAATTTATATATTTCTGCTTCATGTCTAATTATGACAGTTTCGGTCCTCCATACTTTTGATGTTGCCATGAAAAACACTTGTGGAAGCTGAGTTCACAACGATAAAACATAGACAAGTGTTACAAATCAGGTCCTTTGAGGAACACATGTGTATTTCTAAATTATAATTTTCAGAACTTCATCTTATTTATGCTCAGAAAGCTGACCAAGTGATAAATTTATTCCAAATTGTGGAAACAGAGGAAAATATAGGTTTTTAGTGTAAATATGTTTAACCATCCAGATTTTATTATATTGTGTTAAAAAATGAGGTTGTTAGCTGGTATATGAACCATCGTTTTGAGGCCTGTCATTAAATTTAGCTTGAGCTGTTTCATTTTTTTGTCTTCTAAAGAAAAGCACTCATTGAAGTGTCTCCATACTCCTTCCTGGTCATAAATGGAGCACTATTCATTACCAGAATGGAGCTGAGTCAGATCTAAGTGCTCAGGGTGTTGGTCGTCCTGAGCAGTGATATTAATACAGCAGGAATCGTCTCCAGTCGGATCAGAGCCGCTCACTCATCGCTCAGAGTCATGATCCTCAAGCTCATCTACTTCTTGCTCCCCCTCATAGGTAAGCCACAATCAATGTGTGATGCATGACGCTGTGGACTGAGAGTTGTTTTGATGCTTCAATTATTATAATTTTTTTTCTCATTAAGTCACATTGTTGGATGCTTGTTTGTTTGTTTTGTTTTGTTGGGTTCATGCAACGCAAACATGTTTAAAGCAGTATTTTTCCAACCTTTGTGCTGGTCAACTATGACTGGACATTTTTAATTGTGTTGACCACCAAAGTACAAGTTTCAGTCATTTTAAAAGAAAGTATTTTATTGGGCGCAACTGAAAGACTTCCAAAGTTTGGATCACAAAAACAATTCTTGTTTGAGCTTCTCAAAATCATTTGATATTTTAGAGCATTTTAGGTTTAATCTTGATGGTTGGATTTTTTTTTAGGAACAGACATGTTTACTCCATAATTTGACAACAAAAGATGAACTTGTGTGTTCCTGTTCTAACACTGATTGTTGTGCAGCAAAGCATCACAAAAAATCAATAGCTTTCTTCTTCCATTTGGACCTGAAATACTCAAGACCACAACACAGCGCCATTATCTGAGTATAAGGAGCTTGTATGTTTGGAAAAATTTATGGTTTTAACATGATAAGATGAATAGTCCATTCAACGTGTAGCAGTTTTAAAACTCAGGTTGAGAACATGATAATAATGCAAAATGGTAAAGGACTGAAGCTAACTGAGGTACAACCTTTCTTCCTAACTGCGGCGGCCATCTTGAATTACATTAACGTCAAAAGATAAAAGAGTTTGTGTTGCTGGACAATTTAAAAAGAGGATTTTAATTCAGCTCTATCTGAGGGACACTGTTGCTTAAATATAAATCTTTTTTATAAATCTTTTTAACCACAGATCCATGCTTCTATGCCTAAAAAGCACTGACACAATCGTATGCTTTTCCTCCTTTAATGAAATTTATAGGCGTTTTCTTCATAACTATTAGATTTAGGATGGCGAGTTAAAACTGGGAACTATATTTTCCTGTTGAGGCCTGCCATGCTCTCAGATTGAACTGATTTAAAGTGACTCCACACTCTGAGTCATTTATGTGAGTATTATAGTTACTGCATTGATTCATGACCCCCTTAGTGGGTTCGTGTTGCTTTCTCTGCCCTGCCTCAGAGCACCACAGCCATAATCACACGATAAAATCTTTTCAAGTGAAAACCGAATAAAACGACTGAAATCGGAGTGCTGGTCGTCACAGGCAGTGATATAAATACAGCTGGGAGCACCTCATGGCTGATCGGAGAGGACAGAGATGCTTTCATACACCTCAGTCATGATTTTTACTTTCCTCTGGTTTCTGCTCCTCCTCGTAGGTGTGATGGGATCAGGTTGTGTGTGCATGTGGCTGTAAAAGCTCTGTTTTTTTTTTTTTATCATGGAGCACTTTTTAAAATAAGAGAGCGTTATGCTTGAGTATTTTATTGAAAGACATATTGAAGTTTTTTTTTTTTTGTCTCAGGTGAAAATACCTCCAGTTCAGAGGCGCAGGAGCGTCACGGTGATCAAAAAAAGTCCAACTACGCCTCTAAAGACATGCCAGGTAATAATCTCACTTTATTGCTTTATTGTCTTTAAACAAATCAAATCAGCGGGGAGAACAAGCATTCATCTTGATCTAGTTGCACCTTGACATAAATCCTATTATTTTGTAATCAGAATTGTTGTAAAGGTGTCATAAAGAACATACATTGTGTCATCCTACAGGTTCCTTTTCTGTGACGGACGGAAATGTTACGTCGGATGAATCAGAATTTGACGAGGCGTCCAATCAGAGCGCTGAAGAAAATTGTAAGACTAAATAATTTGTCTGATTACAGAAAGTGAAAAAGTACACATTTCATTTATGTTTTTTTTTTTTGTTGTTTTTTAAAAAAGAAAAAATTGTATAGGTCTTCTGGACGGGTTCTTCTCTAATGAAACGTTTCGTCTCTCCTC